GGGAGGGGGGGCGCCTGAGTTTTGTCCTGCCTAGGGCAGCACAAAACCAAGATACACCACTGGGGGGGAGGATTGGAACTTACACACCTGGCACCTCATGAATTTCACCGGTAAGAATGCTCATTTGTTTTACCATTTTCTCCTATAACAGTGCACAATCTGTACACCTTTTCATGCCACCATGTATACACAATGAGAGTAGGGGAACGCATCAGAAGCTAGAGTTTCTGAAAAATAAACATGATGAGTTTGTGGTATAGTTTTCTACCGTAAAATATTTTTTTTGCAGGATGAAAACCAACAGAGGTTACATATTTTAAATTATTATTGGCATTTTAAATGCGGCAAGGTATTTCACAATTGCAATACTGATGTTCAGCCTTAAGACATCCAACACCCTCTATAACAATACATTGGTGTAATGCAAGCAAGTCAAACTTGTGGCCCACAATGAATATATTTGCAGCCCGCCTGCCCTTGGGCTGCTTTGTGCTGTGACTGCGACCAGCCGCAAGACAGGAAAGATGTAGTTGGACTGAAACATTGGTTACATTTAAATGCACATCTCCCTTAAAATTAATCTGCTCTTTTGTTTACTTTGAAGCCCTACGTGAGGACGTCCAGTGTCATTTAGGCAACTTTTTTTATACTGTACTTTTTGAAAGAAACCTACATTTCTATTAAAAATTAAGTGCTTGTTTTTGCCACCTAAATTTAAGATTTGTTTATTTGACCCGTGTTAGCTTTTGAGTTTGACATGCTTGATGTAATGCATCTCGATAAGGAGATGCTCGTTGGTGCCGTGCAGCAATAGCCGCACATGCAGACGCAGTCGACGCAACCCAAATGTTTCTCTATGGAAAGGCATTGGAATGGCTGAGATAGTCTCTGACCAACTCAGCAATGGGTGGAACAGTGGCCGCGAGACTGGCACAGTCTATCATGGTGAGGGGTCATATGTAAATAGGAGTAAACTCTAACAGATATACATAATTTTATTTCTACCATTAAGATTTTCCCTTAAATGTCGGGATATAAAAGCAAATAAGAAACATGCTATTAGAAATGTTAAAAGGAAGCAAGATTGAGTTTATATTCTAGATAAACAGAGTCACTGCAATCAGTGTTAGTAGGTAGTCACTCATTTTATGTAGCTGTGCAGCTTCATTTAGAGGAACACCATAGGCAGGTGATGGATGTGGTCTGGGTGCAGTATTCCCCCTCCCTTAATCCTGCAATGTAAAACATTGGAGTTTTAGAGAAACTGCAATGTTTACATTACAGTGCTAAGACCGCCTCTAGTGGCTGTCTACCAAATAGCCACTAGAGGCGCTTCCTGTAGTTTTACAGAAAAAGACATCCAGCATCAAGCAAAACGCATATTAAACAAAGTTAATGCTTTCTTATGGGGAAGGCTTAACACCATCGGCAGAGGAGGAAAAAATCCGGGGAGTAAAAGAAAGGCTTATTTTTCACACTTTTATGTCCGCAGGTGGTGTGGTCAGAGGGACCTCTATAGTGTTACAAATACATCTTTGTATTCCTAACACTGAAGTCTTCCTTTAAACCTGACAGAGAGATCAGGGCTACACACATACAACAAACTGGTTTAGTCTCCAAGATTAAATACATTTTACTTATGATAAAAATGTTTTTTTTTAGATTCATATAAGATGATTTAAGTATCAGCAAACTCAAATTACCCCAGCCTGCAGACCCCACTCTAAAACAATTATATTATGCGATCAGACCAATTCTACCATAGCTTATTATAGTCCATCTGCCTGTCTTTTATCTAGCTGACCATCAGAAACAAAACCATAAATGGAGCCATTTCTTACACTCTTCAACAGCTCAGATCAAGTTAATTCCATAGAATACTATGAAGGAGCTTCTGAGAGTCCACGGGGACAGTGGATCATACAAGCCCAGCCCATGTATATTTTACAAAAATCTGATGATATGCAAAAAGTATCGCATAGATAGACGATTAAACACTAAATGTGCTCCCGATCCTTCAGATCAAAGTGAATTAGCTCGGATTTATTTTCCCTTTTTAAAGTTCAATTACTTACGTTTCACAGACTGACAATGTGACATCAATGCTGCAGCTTAACATACTTAAGTGGATCTTGACCACTTTGAAAACATCTGTAAAATCCTTCTCGCACCCGGTCTCACACCTGCATCCCTTTCCCTTCACTTTGATCGGAGTGAGACCCTGGAGCAGGACATTCCTCAGCTATTTGTTGGCATTTTTGTTTTGAGAAAAAGAACGCTCTGACAGTGATGTCACTGAAAACATACTTGAAATGTCTCTGTCCTAAAACAAACTTTGATTCCTTGACAACAAGCATCACACAGATTATATATTGGAAGAATTATTTATTTATTTTTTTGGTAGAACATATTCAGCAGGTAGATTCTAAAGATGACGCATGTTGATTTAAAAAAATTCACCAAAGGGTTATATTTTACAGGAAGATTAAATGCAGATCATCTTTTCGCTGTTTTACCTTAGCCCGTCTTATTATTCTTTTGATTTTTAGTAAGTTTAATATTTAAATTATGAAAAACATTATTGCATATGTTTATTTAGAAAGAAACAACAGTTTCTTTATTTTGGTGAAGCCAATAATGTTTTGGCCATATGTTATGCAAATATTATGAAAGCTATTATTATTATTATTATCATTAAGTACAGATGTTTTTCACAGAGCTGTACAATTTGGAACATCTTTATCGATATAATCTGCAATATTTTGTGTTTATGTATTGTGCCGTGGAAGAGAGCTTGATCAGGGGTAGTTCGAGTCATGTTAGCCTAAATAAAAATATTTAATTTTGATAAAGCCTTAAAGGTGAAACTCGTTAATGGTTTTAAATTGTGTATTTTATAACAATAAAAGTTTTTTTTGGTTACCTTTTTTATAGGACCAATCTTCTATTTATTTTATTGTATTTAATATACACTTTTATTGTTATTCTTCCTGGCATTTTTATTGTATCCTGATTCAAGAAATCCATAGGTGGGGATAATTCCACCAGTGCTGTGTCAATAGAGCAGTATTTCCTGCTCTACACTTGTGAGTATGTTTTATTTTATCTATTTTATTTATTTTCCAACTGAGAGCACTATTGCTGTTTTTTATATATATATTGTGGAGTACGATGTAACCAAGGACGGACCTACGGACTCACTTCTCCAGTATATCCTTTAGCGGGGATCATACCGCTAAACGCCCTCCATCCTAGAGCTGGCCTAAGCTCCTCCAAATGTGAGTGTATTATCCTCCTTTTTACTTATTCTACCCTTGGATCTACAATATTTCACCATGGGCAGTTTGTCGTGTTTTTAGTCTTCACATATACGGATTATTTACAACCCGGACGGATCAACTCCTGAGGATTATACACATACTCTATCGAGAAATATCAGTGAGACGTTTTATTGATTTTTATTGAACATTTTACTGCTTGGATGGACTTTGTTTTATTTTACTTTCTGTTGTGTTAATAGAGACTCTTTTTATCTATTATACAGGCTTACTTATTGTTGTCTAATCATTTAGGCCATTTGGTCTGATTCTTACTGTATTAAACACTGTATCTTAGCGCAGCCCTTACCTCAATTTTTTATTTTTTATTTCTAATCCTATCAAAGGTCCTGAGGGATTCCCTTTTTTTAGGGTTGATGCTTATACCTCTGTTACTTAGCGCAGACTCTTCCCCCTTGCTTTTACTTTATTAAAATATGATGTAAAACAACTCCACACAACAAAGTGCAAGTGACAGAAGGTGTTAAAGTGGCGCTAGAGATATAAATAGGTGCGACTTCCCCAGTGTTTAAAAACCACTTAAAAAACACTTATTAAAATAGTATAAATAAAAGTAGAGTTAGGGGGCCCAACTTTAAATGTAATAAGAAAATAAGTGGACAATACTTATTCACATTTGGCCATCAAGTTTTGAATTTCACCAAAGTAAAAAAAGGACAGTACATAGCATAATACTGTATAGACATAAAATTTCAATACTGGATATAGATTTCACACTAACACTTTGCAGAGCCACATATAGTAGGCTCTGACTTTTCAGGCTTTTCAAAATCCCTTTGACTTTGTCTCCTCTCCTCCACTTCTCAGGATTGTTAAACACAATTAAAGTTATGTTACCGTAACAGCCATTAGATGGTGCTTTTGCTTCCAGAACCAAGTCAAACTCTGTTTATGATGTTCGATAGCTTTACACATTGAATGATGATGTTGAGCTTTCAATCAATGCTTCTCTATGAGAAGCATTTGAGTATCGGATTGCAGAAATATTTGTGTGTGCACATTAAGTCCACAATGCTTCTCTACAATAGGGCTTTGATTGGATGGTTCACTAAATTGATTTTTGTTTGTACTAATAAGGGGAGCCCAGGAATCCCTCCACTTGAAGCAAAAATGTTATGGGCACTATAGTGCATCATTAACCAGAAATAATGGCCATGTATCTGCTATGTATGCAAGCATTCAAACACCAATACACAAAGATACACATATACACCCTCACTTTCAAACACGAACACTACCCACAAATGCATATCTCCATTTGAATGCCAGCGCAACTACATTCACACACAGTCCATACAAAAACATGCTTACATTCATCACACAAACACTATCCTGCTAGGTTGGGAAAATGGTAGATCCCCATTTGGCAAAGCATTGTGGGGTTTGCACAACAGTTCAGGATCTACCTTTTGGCAATCCTTGTGCTAGAGGGGGGTCCAAAAAATGCTCTAGATTAGTGCGTGGGCTATCTCTAACAGGGTAGGTACCAGTTGTCATACACTAACATTTATAACATTACTGACAGATATTTTGATTTGTCTCTACAATAAATGTCTGTCTTTAACATTCATCTCATCTTACACGTTCCAGATATTTTTCTGCAGCAAAACAAATCACTGTAAGGCACGCTGGCGAATGTTTATTAAGTTTATTTTATAATTGAATGAACTGTTGGTTTGTTTTACGCACTGCTCGTTCTGAATTTCGTGAGCTTTCAAAGAGTTGTATAACAAAAACATATTTGTAGCTGACAAAGACCAGAAGCTTTTTAAGGAAGAACTGCAGTAGATGTTATGGAACATTGTGTCTACAAGGGAAGCGGTTTAAACTTCCTACAGTAACTTATCAGATTAGGTATTGATGAGCAAAATGTACAACACAAAGCAAGTCTGACACTCTGTAATGGAAATAAATACACAATTCTTAGTTCATGGATATTAAAGAGAAAACCATTTTACATTATAGGGTGCAGATATTTTAATTTGACTTTCCTTATTTACAGTACAGTTGTCTGTACGTTTTGGAAATGCCAAAAATTTATATAGATGTATTTATATCAATGTATGTCAATGGCTACTTTCCCTTTTCCATATGAGTAAAAATTTACAAAACACAATCTCACGCATTTAAAAAAAATACGAATCATAAAATGCATAGTATTTAACATAATAAGAATCTATACTGTATAGCAAATGTTAAAAGTGGTCATTAGTCACTCCTGGAGCACAGAAGAATGTTATGCTAATATTCTACTGAGTTGACTATGTTCAATCATTTATTTATTTATTTTTTTATTTTAGGTCAGTAGACAGGAATTTCAGAATGAATTTGTAATTTCTATGCTGGGGTTACTCAGAAAACCATAAAGGATTTATTCGGCTAGACAAAACATTCCTACCTGCTCAAAATCAATTTTGAGAATTCAATTGACTCATCACAGTTATGTCAACATGTCCGGGCAAGTAGGATTCCGGAAAAGTCTGTCAAAACCTAGACAGAACAGTTGGTCAGCAGAGACAAATGTGTCTGTATCGATATTTAATGGGGTGATGAACCGCAAAATGTGTGCACCTTATCAGACTACTGGAAGGAAGACATTAAATGAAATGCAACGGTATTATAATCTCTGATACATTATGACAGACACATGACGTCTTGCTGGACTACATATTTATGGACTTCCATGAAATTATGGATAAGGAATCCACTTCTCATTTCTCCTTAATCCCACAATAAAACTGACGCACATGTTGTAGGAATAGTGAACGTAAGCTGTTTTGTGGAGTTTATTATTATACAAACATATTTTATGAACGACGAGCCAACAGGTGTATTTGACACTCTATAGTTAAGCCGATATAGAATAAAGGCTGGAAATTCAATTGCTGCTTCATTGGACATCAGACTGCATGGTCAGTGGATGATTAGTCACTCATTAAGGCTATCGATCACTTTTTATGGAGTTACCGTTGCTGCACATATTTAGAGCAAATGTCATCAGAAAGGTAATGCTAAATGGTCAGTGACCCCTGCAAGTGATGTCACCAAGTGTCGAGATATTTTGGAAACAAATCATACCTTTACATCCATGATAGATAGTACAATTATTTTTAAAATGTCTGCATATCAGTACAGAAATAAACAAAACTGTAGACAAGACACTTTGGCAAAAGGGACCAAGTTTGAAGAGGAAAGGTTTCCATAAAATGTTATTCATCTCTACAGAATCTGACATCTGTAAATGGCTTAACGGTTTTTTTTGGGGGGAGGGAGAAATTCAGGTTAATTCAAGTTAAATATCAGCTGAAAGTAAAGAACTGATTGGTGATATCAACTTAAAGGGCCAAAGTTACACAAATATTCTAGAACAGTTGTGGATGACGTACTAATGAAGTGCAACAAATTAGGCAATATAAAATAATTAATACAATTAAAAAATTGTTTGCGTTTGTCGGTTGTAGTCACATAATAAACACATAGTGAGTTAGTAAATTCATAATCACACAATAAAAATAAAAAATAAATTGAATTTGTATAACCTGTTGGCTGTTCTCACATTAGAAATAAATAGCAATGTGTTGTTTTGCATACTAATAGTTATCCACAAAACTGAATTAACAGAACATAAGAGGGCATTTCAATTTTAAGCTAAACTGTCGATTTGGAACTAAAACATGAAATGCACTTTAAATTCCTGATAATTCACAGTTTAGCGAATAACCCTGATTATTTCTTTACATTTTTGTAGACTTTTTTTCTTAGTATATATCACAGTAGCTGCAATTTAACTTTCTGTATTGATTTCTGGAATTTAATGTATATAGTTATAGTATTATCAGCACTTTTCACATGTTCAGTCTTATGATTATTTTGTTTTAATATCAACTGGTAGGCACATGCCCTTCTTGGTGGTTGATCCTTAAATTGCTAGAATATTCAGAAGAAGAACAAGCGAATCACAAGTGAAAAATAAATAGGTAGCAGTCTGGAGGTGGACAGCAGCTACATGCGCACGGGATCCAAGATGGCTGCCGGGATCTCGCACCGGTACCACAAGGTAGAAGGAACCGTTGGAGGCGTTCTTCGCGGTCCCAAAAAGCCTGAGAAAATCAGGGAAAGCAAAAAGCCTGACGAAATTCTGGACAAAGGAAAGCAACACAAAATAAACAATAAGACCCAAAACAAAATAATACAAATTACCCTGAGAGAAACCAGAGCAAAAACTCATGTAAAATAAGGTAGGAAAAAATATAAAGGAAAAGTAGAAGTATTAGAAATACAGGATGTACCACAGAAAACAGAGATATAATAAGGGAAACAAAAGGAATTACAGAATAAAAAGAAACAGAGAAAAAAAGATAAAATAAAATACAGCAATCCCCACAAAGTGGGAGACAGTGGCACTCTGACCTGTACTGGTGTGGAGCAGCAAAGAAAGAGGAAGAGCTAAATAGGGGAGGGACTTTTATTACCTGTGTTCCTTTTTTCTGATTGTTTTATCCTGTTACCATGTGAAAGTTATGCTGCTGTGGAGCTTAAGAAAGTCATAAGCAAAATATGAAGCCTCCTGTTATGTTATAAAATGTCATTATACACCACTATTAATTATGTGGTTGCTTTAACCCTCTGAATAGCGGAACTTATTTATTTTATTTTTTTACAGATACTCATTCTATATACATGTAAGCATTGTCTAAAATTCAAAACAATCAGGGACATTTTTCTTCAACAGTTAATTGGTTTATTTTATGTTTTCCTGTAGTTGCATAGTAATATTGTACAAATAATTGAAATAATATTTTTCATTTATATTAATGCACTAAATGTGTTAATGTACAAAATGCCAGAAAATGACGTATGATCAGTTAAGCGAATGACATGGCAGAGTTTCTTGATTGGAAAAGGCAACAAACATTAAATCAGCAGCTGAGAGGAGGTCTAATACAGTATATATTCTATTATACTCTTCTTAAACATAAAAAACAAAACAAAAAAAAACCCAGAACAAATGCATTAAAAAATGCGCTATTAATGTATCACCTTCCTTGGCTGACAAATTATAAATAAAGTTATTTTATTACATGTCCACCTATCACGGTCTCCAGTTCTCAGGTTAAACAAATTGTCAAGTTTTAACTCCGTGATGATCAATAACTGAATAATAGAATGCATGAAATTCATTGGTTCTTAAGAGGCTAAAAATGGTTTGTAGATTTTTTTTTGATTTTTTTTGGTCACAGTACACCTTTATCGCTAACTTATCAGAAGTGTATTGTGGGAACACATGACATGACAGAGACATACTGCACATGCAAATAAAATAAAAAGAAAAATAAACAAAGTGTCAAAACAGACTAGATTACCTGTCGTGGATGAAAACTGTAGAAACGATTGTAAATTCAGGTCTAAGAGGTGGGTATTAGGAAGTGTTTGTCTTCACCCCGAAAACTACACCTTAATACAAAACATTTGTTGCCGGCCCATCTCTGCACTTTGGCTCTCTGAGGGATTGGCCAGTCCCCCACCAGGAGGGCACCCACATTGGAGATGGGCTGATATTCCTATCCTTTAATGCAGTGGTTCTCTTCAGAAATCCCTTAGTTGATTCAGGAGTACCACTCAAAGGTTAAATCCACTACCGTACCCAATGGGACAAACTGAGTGATGTTTATTTGAAGAAAACACCTGAAGTTTATACACAAAGAACAATACATATATATTCATACATATACTTTTGGTACTTTGTTCAGATAAAGAGACCACCCATGCCATCTTAGTGAGCACTAATTTCTCTATTTGTTGTATGTATATAACTTTTAAATGTAGATATTTCAAAGATATCTAAGTGAATATACTTTAGATTTTTTACTTTTTATTTTTTTAAACAAGTTTTACAGGATTATCGGAGGTTCTACAAAGTTTTGAGGGCACTAAGAAGTCATATGGCTATACTTTTGAGTTTATTTTATTTTTTTATTATCTCAAAGGAAGCAAATGTATGACCAGTCATACATTCAATGAAATCCCTAGTGTACATAACGAGTTGAAAGATAATCTACTTTAAAGATAAGGCTTTGAATAAACTAAGTCACCAAAGATTGTTAAGCTCTTGTATAGCAAATACCTAAAGTAGGTGTTTGCGTTTAGATTTTCAAAATCGCTGATCCCCTTAAGTCTGGTTCCTTTCTGGAAATCCTACACATTTATGCAGAAATCAATGAAGGACACTTTAAACACAACATTATCAACATACTCCCATCAAAACAGACTGAGTGAATCACTGTCTGCGGGCTCGTTCTCTTTAATGTATTGCAGAATGTCTGACTCGTCCATGATTTGAATGTTGGGCTCCTTCTGTTCCGAGTGTTGATGCAAAGGTGTTTTTGATTTTTCGGTTTCTTTAAGAAACGTTGGTTTGGCTGGTATCTTCGGCTTTGGTTTAGGCACTGGCTTAACTGTAATGTTTAGGAGTTTTTCAAGATCTTCACCAACCCTACATAGACATAGACAACATTTAAGACAAGTATGCTGATCATTTTGTTTTAAATCAATTTTTATTGCATAGTTCACAAAGCCTGACTACAGTATATTGTCAAGTAACAAGAATGCAAACTGTCGAATGACTGAAAACATAACTTAATTTGTCATCCAAGTGATGAGAAGTATTCTCAACTCATTAGCAAGCCAGCTGGGAAATATTAAAAACAAAAGTTGTGATTTTAATGTAATATGTTATTAGGTAAACTATCGATATTTATTATTAGCTTCTAATTCTTCATATAAATGGTGCTTTCATGGGCTTGTTCAATTTATCTTTCAATCTTGACTTGCCCACCTTTTTTCCACCTACAGGGCATTTAATGCATGTGGAAATGTGTCGAAGGTACCATCACTGGTATGGCATGACTAAATGCACCACGGATAATATTTAGGGTCCCAAATTAAATCTGTACTGTGGTGAAACTTCTAATCCACTTTCAGCTTGTGGCACTTAATATGGGGCTCTCTGCCATACTTGTTGCGATCATTTATCGATCAGTAATCACTAAGATGCTGATCATTTATGTGAGCAATTATTGGCTGTTTCTATACTACAACTTAAAGTTTGATAGAGTGCAATTATTGCCTGGAGAGTTTTAAAGAGGCACTTCAATCACCCTAATAACCACATCAATCTTTAACGGTTATAGTGCCTGAAGTCCCCTGCCGCAGTCCCAGTGTCAAGAGTCAGACTTTGTTTCAATATAATGACACTTCTAGTCTCCATCTTACCTTTGTTAACCCAATGTTTGATCCCATGTCAATCACATGCCACCAGTCTCTGCAGGTAACTGCAGACACTATAATCAGTTCAATGAGATGAAGCAGTCACAGTGACTACAGTGTCCTTTTAAGTGTCATAACTTACCTCGATCTATCCAGCTGCTTTCCTTATCCATGTGGCCACGTCTCCACACATCTTCTTCCTCTGTTAAATGACTATCAGCAACTTGGTATTGCTCAGTTAGTTTGCTACCAATTGCGATACAAATTTGGAACCTGAGCTCCTGATTAACTAACCGCCACATGCTATTGTGTGAGCCTCTGATTCTGTTGTAATTCCCAAGCTTGACCTCAAATCGTTTCAGAGATCATTTCCCAGCCAGCTGAATATTCTACAAAACCATCTGTATCATCGTGTGCCCGTCAGTAATTTTGCAAGTCATCTCCTGCTGTCAGTCTGCTGGAGTTAACCATTCCAATCATTCTAATCTTGATCTGCCAGGAAAGGCTCTCTTTAAACCTTTTAATTGGTCAAACTGCTTTCCCCTTCATTACCTCTAGCAGTATTTAAAGAGATAAACCTCTGCAGTGGTGTTCCATGCCTCCATATTTTCCTGACACCAATAACCATTCTGTTATTTTGAAAAATATTAAATTGATACCTGAGGAATGTCATTTAGAAACTGAAGTCAAACTGAAATGTCATTAAAGTGATGCAAGCAATATAAACACAATGATATATTGAAATGACTTATCTGGTATCCCCTCTTACCTCCGCTCTGGACAAAGTATGAAATAAAAGGTAATAAAACTGGACCAAGTTTATTGTTGAGGAAAAAATTATATATATATATATATATAAAAATAAATAATCTGAGCATGCATAAACAAATCCAACAAAACAAAATAAACTCAGATATATTCATAAGAAGCACAAAAATCATGCCTTATGTGTAGGGATTATGGAAATGACAACAAACAGATCTGGATCAGCGACTTTGTGGGAGAGAAAAGCTAAACTATATTGAGAGATGATAACAAAATACATATTTCTGGCAAGATTATCCAGGCTATTGGAATGAAAGTTACTTAAACACAAGTCAAAGAACTCACAGTAAGCCTTTGTGTTAATGCTGCTCTCTAGAAGAGTTTAAGCTGGTGTTGTAGTTAAGTACAGCACAGCTGTGCTAC